CGGGTATTATATTTGCTATACCCGACCGGGTATTTGTCAAATCAAATCTTTTTCCCATGTTCTGGTGTTCTTTTGCACGTTCGTTTGCCCGAAATCACTTCATACCCGACCGGGTATAGGGAATACCCGACCGGGTATTTGATAAAACTTCCCAGAAGCTTCGTTTTTCACCTTATACCCGACCGGGTAAATGCCATACCCGACCGGGTAACTCACCAAATCACATTTTTTGCATGATTTCTTGCTCCCTTGCACCTTCCTTTGATCTTATAAGATATCTTCCATGCTCCTTTGTTGTAGACCAATTTATTCAAGCTTAAGATCTAAAACAAATAAATTACAATAAACTAGGAAAAATAAAGTATTACACCAAAAGTGTGTAATTTCTCAAACAACAATAAATAAAACTAGTTAAAATTACAAATATAAACCATAACAATTCTATACTATCAAACTCCCCCCTACTTAGTCCATTACTCGTCCTCGAGTAAAATATCGGCATAACGGTCCACAATCCACAGAACAGATAAATTTAAAGGAATTAAATGTTCAGTTTCGCATCCCTCCTCAAATTACATGAGTTCATGTATAAACTCAGATAAAATTTCCTCTCATTCTCTCATTCTGCCTAGGAGCCCTTTCAGGTTTTCATCCTAGCCTCTCATTTTTTTTTTCTTGTTTTTTTTTTTTTTTTTTTTTCAACTCACTCATTTTAGCCACTTTTGCTTAGATTGCCCAATTTTGGGTTTTCAACCTAACTAGCATTTTTTCTTTTTTTCTTTTGTTTCCTTTTTTTTTAAAGTAGTAATGCAAGTTCAAGGTGGAAAAAGGAGTACATACCAAATGAGTGACTCCCCCCTACTTAGTCCGAGCACTGTCTCTAGTGCTTCCAATCATTGTTGCTTGTTTTTTTTTTGGATTGGAGAGATGAAAGTATTGGAATTCGGATTTTGAGGGTTTGGGGCTAGGTTTCGGATTTTTGATTTGGGAGAATTTAGTGGGCTTTGTGAATATGGGGATAGAGAGGGTGATGTGGAGAAGAAGAATATGGGGTTGATTTGGGTTTTTAATGGACGAAAAGGGCGGGTTCGAAGCTTGTTTGCTCAACAATGGAGGTTTTTGTTTGAGCTCTCAAATTTGGGGAAGAAGATGGGAGGTTTTGGGGCTGATTTGGGGTTAAAATGCCCGTATACCCGGCCGGGTATTCCTTATACCCGAATGGGTATTTCGTTCGTCTAAAGCAGTGGCTGTTTCGCCGGTTTACCCGGCCGGGTTTTACAAATACCCGGTCGGGTTTTTTTCCAGGCCTCATCAAAAAAACTGTTTTTTTTTTTTTTTTTTGAAAATAAAATTGTTCACTCTCGAACAAACACTCAAAATAAACAACACACAATGTAAAAAAAAAACTTGGGTTGCCTCCCAAAAAGCGCTTGATTTAATGTCGCGGCACGACGTTATTTTTATTTTGTTTTCTGTTTTAAGTGGGATCATGGACATCCCTCGCTTTTTCAAAGTCCTTGTTAGGCCAAGTTTTATTTTTCTTCTTCGGCCTTTTCCAGTAAGGCCGAGTTTTAGTTCTCATCACCACCTCAACCGTAGGTGGATTTAATTCACAATTTAAAACCTCTCCTCTAACCAATGATAATTCCACATGCTTTTCTTTTTCAAAAATTGGGATTTTCTCACCTTTTTCAAAAATATTCCGTTCTTGTGGTTCCAAAACGTTTAAAGAACAAAGAGTTTGATCTTTCATTTGTTTTTTCGAAGAGTCAAAGATATTGAACTCTACTTTTTGGTCATCGAACTCCAAAGTTAGTGAACCACTAGACACGTCAATTTTTGTTTTTGCGGTCTTTAAGAAGGGTCTACCCAAAAGGATGGGTGTTGTTTGGTCATCATTTCCCATTTCAAGGACATAGAAGTCAACAGGGAAAACCAAATTTTCTACTTCTACTAGCACATCTTCTATTACACCCTTTGGGTAAGTATTAGATCGATCCGCTAGTTGAATCACTACACCAGTTTGATGTAGCGGGCCGAGTTGTAAGGATTTATACAAGGAATAAGGAATGACATTTATTGATGCTCCTAAATCCAACAACGCTTTAGAAAATATGGTGTCCCCTATTTTGCAGGGAATAGTGAACATGCCCGGGTCGCTACATTTTTCGGGGAGTTTCTTTTGAAAAAGGGCCGAAACATGTTCACTCACCTTAACCTCTTGTTTTCCCCTCACTTTATTTTTTGTTTTTGTTTTGCATAATTCTTTTAAAAATTTAGCAAAACGGGGAATATTTTTAATTGAGTTAAGGAGTGGAATGTTTACCTCACACTTGGAGAAAATTTCATAGATATCAGCATCTTTGTCAAGCTTCCTTGTCTCCTTCAAAGCCTCGGGAAATGGGGTCACTAGTTCATATGATGAATGTGGAGGAGGTTTGGCTTTTGGGATCCCCTCCTCTGATTGAGCTTCTTTTTGATCATCCTCCTCAACCTTTTGATTCATCTCCACCTCCTTAAGTGTTGTACCACTTCTCAACATGATTGCATTCACATGTTGTCTCGAGTTTTGCTCCGTTTGAGATGGGAGTTTTCCCGAGTCCTTTGCTTCAAGTCGGCTCACAGCATTTGAAATTTGGCTAACATGAGTTTCCAAATTTTTTATGCTTGACTTTGTCTCATGTTGGAATGGAATTGTATCATGGTTTGTTGAAATTCTCCCATGTTTTGTTGCATGGTAACCATGTTTGAGGTCAAAGTTCGGATCATCTCATCAGTTGACATATTAGATTGAGAATTTGAGCCTTGGGTGTTGAAAGGTGGTTGAGAAGATGAGTTGGCTTGTTGAGGGTTCCCATATCTCAAATTTGGATGATCCCTCAATGCCGGATTATAAGAATTTGAGAAAGGATCATACCTTCTTTGTTGATGTCCTTGGAAACCGAGGGCGTTGACTTGCTCTTCTTGGAGTGATGGACATGAATCAGTGGGGTGCCCAGTTGATGTGCAAATGCCACAAGCTTTGACCTCCTGAATTTTTGGTTTTAGAAGGAGTTCTTTTACCAAAGAAGTCAAGCCAGCAACTTGACTTTCTAGAGCGGTGGTGCTGGATTCCGCAGCAAGAACTCTTCGGGTTGATGATTTGCGGCTGAATTGCCGTGAGTTCTCGGCCAACTCCGAAATTAAGCTTGTCGCTTGTGAAGGAGTTTTATTAACAATGCCACCTCCACAAGCGGCATTCACCATTCTTCTATCATCATCAACAAGACCATCATAAAAGTATAAGATGAGGTCTTGTTCAGTGTATCCGTGATAGGGGCAGCTAGCACATAGCTTCTTAAAACGCTCCCAATATTCATACAATGTCTCATCTTCTTTTTGTTCAATGTTGCTTATTTGTTTTTTCAAAGAAGATGAGACAGAGGCAGGATAGTACCTTTCCAAGAAGTGTTTTTTCATAGCCGCCCATGTGTTGATACTTCCTGAAGGAAGATAGAAAAGCCAATCTTTTGCGGTGTCCTTCAAAGAGAATGGAAAAGCCCTCAGTTTTATTTGCTCTTCCGTGACACCATTTGGGCACATGCTTGTGCACACAATATGAAACTCCGACAAGTGTTTGTTCGGATCTTCGCCTCTTAGACCATGGAAAGATGGTAGTAGATGGATGAGCCCAGATTTTAGCTCAAATGTATTACCTTCATCAAGAGTGGGGAAGGTAATACACAATGGTTGTTGATTTAGATTAGGAGCGGTGAGCTCCCTTAAGGTCCTTGTCTCGAGAGCCATGTGGAATGACTCTTCGGATTCGCTAGAGCTAGAGTTAGCGTTTGAGGATTCCTCCGAGGGTGTGTGCGGAAATAAATTTCTCAACCTCTCGAAGGCTTGTTCTATTTCGGGGTTTGTTTGGTAAGTAAGTTCGTTTATAGAACGGGTTTTTACCATATACTCGTGAAAGCTCAGAAATAGAAAAAGTAAGAACTCTTTATATTTTGTTTATTTAATTTTTTTATTTTTATTTTTCTTGAATTAAATTGAAAAGAAAAATGATTGTCTTTCCCCGGCAACGGCGCCAAATTTGACGTGCACTTGTCGTGAGGTGCACTCAAAATAAATATCAATACGACACTAATACGTAGTATAGCGAAGTAAGGTTCGTATCCACAGGGAAAGGAATATTTCTCTTTTTAATTAACTAGTAACAAAGGGTGTGTTTTAGATTTGATTTGATTTAATTAACACTAAGATGAATGACTTAAATGAGTTTAATTAATGAGAAGAAGACTTGGCTTTGCTTTTATCCACTTAATGAAATGTTCGTCGATCCCGGTTATATCTTTAACTATCTTCCTCTCGAATACTCAATCGAGGAGTATATCCAGTTCATCGAGGGTAGTTATTAATAACGAGAAGCGTTCATTAATAAAACTTACTATCGAGTCAATATAGAACAAGCGCCGTATATTAACTTGATGGTAGCAATAAACTTAAGATGAAAACGATTGAGATTGATAACCTCAACACAAGCGGTTTATTGGTTTAATCAATATAATTAATTCCCCTTAGATTATTAACCACGAGATGCATGCATTAATAATCCAAGTTTACTACCATGAAAGGACCGAATTAATAACAAGCGTATTAATCGACCGATTCTAGTATTAATTAATATATGAAACAAAACTAGTTGATCCTTTAAGTAATGTTCAAAATATTAATATGAAATATGAATAGGAATTAATTAATACTCAAGAAAGAATATTAAAGAAGATGAATCCTACTATAGTTAATATCAAGATGTTAACTAATTGTCATCTTAGTAACACTCCCCAATATAAACGTAGAGGAAGAAATAATTATTACTATAACTAATGTCAAGATGTTAACTAATTGTCATCTTAGTAACACTCCCCAACATTGATATAGAAATAGTATTTAAAGGAAGAATTAATATTCAAGGAAGAAGATTAAAGAGAATAACTCACAACTTACAAATTCATTAAGCTTCAAAGTAGCAAAACCAAGATGGAAGAGTTTAGCTCCTCATTTGGAGACTAAACATGATAGAAAATATAAAGAAAACACTAATCTAAACTGAGCTAAAGAGTATATGTGAATTGGTGATTAAAAGTGAAGGAAAATGGGGTTATTTATAGGTGTTTTCAACACCTAATGCCGGATACCCGGCCGGGTATTATATTTGCTATACCCGACCGGGTATTTGTCAAATCAAATCTTTTTCCCATGTTCTGGTGTTCTTTTGCACGTTCGTTTGCCCGAAATCACTTCATACCCGACCGGGTATAGGGAATACCCGACCGGGTATTTGATAAAACTTCCCAGAAGCTTCGTTTTTCACCTTATACCCGACCGGGTAACTCACCAAATCACATTTTTTGCATGATTTCTTGCTCCCTTGCACCTTCCTTTGATCTTATAAGATATCTTCCATGCTCCTTTGTTGTAGACCAATTTATTCAAGCTTAAGATCTAAAACAAATAAATTACAATAAACTAGGAAAAATAAAGTATTACACCAAAAGTGTGTAATTTCTCAAACAACAATAAATAAAACTAGTTAAAATTACAAATATAAACCATAACAATTCTATACTATCACCCAACTATCCACCAAGAAGAGAAGGAAAGTTCTCAGGTAAAGATAATGTTCTCTGTTATAACTGTAGAGAACCAAGACATTACAAGAGTGAATGTCCATTCCCAAGTAAGTTAACAAGTATCAAGAACAACCAATACCTAAGAGTAACTTCAAACAACAAACCTTCAAAAGCAAAAGACAAGCTTTTGTAAGTGAAAAGAAAGAAAAACTCAATGAGGAAAGTGATGAAAGCTCGAATGATGAAAGCACCAATTCTGAAAGCTCGGAAGAAGCATTGTTCTATCTATGGCTCATAATCAGTAGCCAACGGTTGCAAAACAGCTTCCTACTGCAGACTTCACCAACCATTGCAACTCACAACCAGATGTCTCATGGCAAGATCTGATGACAATGATGAGGTAATATCCCACTCTTCTGATCTCACTACTCAAATAACTCTGAATGTTCTAGCCCAAATCTTGAATCCTTGCTAGCTGAATTTGAGAACATTCAGAGATCCCAATTTCTGTTGAAATCTGAGAATGAAAAACTAAAAGCGAACTTGAAAGTAGCCCATGCACAATTGGGTGAATTCATTCGATGTAAAGATCTCTTGGAAGCTGAAAACATTCATCTAAAGGAAAAACTGAGTAGGATAAGAAACCCTCCCACTGAAGAAATTCAGAATAATTGGAAATCGGCAGGAGTACTAGGATATAGGCTGCTCTATAAACCATTGAAAAATTCTTCACCTACCATCCATCAACAAAGCCATCAAAACATCTCAAAAGAAGGAAAGAAACCCGAACCGACCTATCAAAGAACACCACCACAAAGAAATCAGCCAGCTCCCAAAGGAAAATCCAAACCATTACCCAAAAGGAACCCCCACTACCAAAAGACCAAATATCAGCCATCTTGGCAACCAGTCTCCGGATCTAAACAACCAACTTTTCAAGTAAATGATGTCTAATTTTGACTGATTATATATTTATATATATAAGTATTGATAATATGAAAATGGTATGAAACTGTGTTTTGCTAAAAATAATATCACCAAAGTATAAAGTTATTAAATTTTGCATAAATATATTACTACCTCCGTCCCATAATAGTTGTCCACTTTCAATTTGGCACGATTATTAATAAAATGTTTGAAAAGTAAAAGTTGTGATTGAGATTTGAGTAAAATAAAATAAAATGATAAAGATCACATATTTCTTGCCAAAAAAGAAAACAAAACATTCATTTTGGGATAAACCAAAAAGGAAAGTAGTATAACTAAAATGGGACGGAGGGAGTAGTTAAAATAATTGATCGAAATTTATCACGTTTGACTGAAAAAGTCAAAGATGACTAATTAAAATGGGACGAAAGTAGTAGTATTAGTAAGAGTACTAGTCTCTTAATCTTTTTAGTCTTTTTTTGGAATTTAAAAAAATATCTTTCTATCCATTAGCTAATTTTTATGAATATTCTTGTCCTAAGCCGTATATTTACAAGAAATCTTTTTCATTTCCCAAGTAAACGGGCCCTAACATTTCTTAGCATTTTTAGCTGAAATACCCCAAAAAACCGTTACAAGAGTATTCTTTCCTCTCCCACCTGACATTTTTAGCACAGTGCGGTGCTGCGGTGGCTAACAGAGGCTTTCGCCAATCGCCACCCTATCTTTGCTTTTATGGAGCAGCGGCTTGCGTTTCTCCCGAGGCGAGGCCGACGGAAGAAGCAAACCAAAGTAAAGTGCACTTTTTTCCTCCTCTCTTTGCTGAAAAAGCAAACCAAACTCGATGACGATGAGGGCTTTATTTGCTGGACAAGCCCTCTTTCACAAAAGGATAAGAAGAAAGACATTTGACAGAGACAATTTGTTAGACGAACAAACCAAAATCTCGAGCGGGCATTGAAGTTAATTTGAATTAAAGGCGGCGTACCATCACATCCAATTCTTTACTTGCTGGATGAGAATCCAAAAGCTAATAAAGCTCCTCACTCACTTGCCTCGCAATTCTCCAAAGTAAATCCTCCACTGCCCTCTTCCGTGTATATATACGCACTTGATCCGTGATGCAGCTGATGTGCATTTTCCCTTTGTTCTTCTTCCTCAATCAGTTTCTCTGGATTTGAAGCAGAATAAGAGGGGCTATAATCGGATATTGTTATTTCTGCTGGTGTTTCTCAATCTCAAGTCATGGCCAGTACCAGTGGTACTAAGTCGGGTATGGGTTCCCGAAGGTTGAATAGGGCAGGCACTATGCTGGATCCCGCTGTAGGAGAAGACTGGACCAACTTCAATAGTGAGAAAGTCCCCGCCGCTATCGAATCCATTGCTCCCATCCTCCGCGCAGCAGATGAATTGGAGAAAGAAGATAGTAAAATTGCTTATTTGTGTAAGTACAGCTTTTTCCTCCCATTTTCTCCATCAATGTCCTTTTCTGTACTTCTAGTGTTCAAATGAACGGTTATAGCTTTTCCCTTTTTGAAGAAACTGTCAATAATAATAAGAGTAAAACAAGTTCACAAACAAGGGCTTATTATATTTTATTTCTGAAATATGACTTATTTAGTCTTAAGCGAAGAATACAAAAGAAGTTTAAACTTCTTTTCTAGGAGTGAATATGTCCTATTTAGTATTTTGGGAAAAACAACAGCTGCCCTGATTAAAGAATTGTGTTGTGGTTTGGTTTCCTTTCTATTACTATAAACGTTTATGTCTTTGTATATGCCCGTGAAGATGTGAAGCTGGTGCGCGTAGGCCTAATAACTAACTTCAATGCAGGACATCATTGCTATAAAATATTGCATTCTCTGATAGCTTCTTTATGCTCCCGGACATGACCAAGTTATATAACAACAACAACATTCAAGCCTTAGTCCCAAACGATATTGGGGTCGACTAACATGAATCGATACATGATATCACCAAAAGGAAAAGAAAGAAAATAAAGATAAAAAAGATAAGCTATTATAAAAAAGATAATATAAAAGAGATGAATATACATATAAAAGATAAAATAAAAAGGATAAAGTAATATTTATATTATATATAAGGATAAAAATATAAAAGAAAAAGAAAAAAAAGAAGAAGAAAAAAAAGAGGGGAAAAGATGATACAAGATCACTCCTCCACACGAATACCCTCATCCAATCCAAGAAGAAGCATATCACTTCTGACTCCCCTAACCCACGTCTGTTTGGGCCTTCCTCTCCCTCTCTTCCCTGCCTCTTCTCCACACATCTCAACTCGTCTGACAGGTGCATCACTCGGTCTTTTATGCACATGACCAAACCACCGTAGGCGCGTCTGACATGACCAAGTTATAATGAGTCAAAAAACCATTAATTCAGCATCACAAGTGAATGGGTATTTCTAAGCAATCCACCTAATTGGGCACCTTTTACCAATTGCAATTCATCTAATCGTTAACCTCATTCCAATTCATTGATTTTGACCAGCTTTTCATGATCAGAAGCCAATTTTGCAAAGGCTTCTTTTTGCCTTAAAGTTGGTGGAACTATGAAAGATGTAGAGCTTGATACAAATTTTGCACTGTTATTGATACTGCAATGGGATTTGTTCAAATTGGGGGTTTTAATTAAAAAAGTTTACACAGGTATTGTTCTGAAATTTTGATTTGTAGTTTCTAAATTGAAAAATAGTTTGGAATTAATTTTTGCATGAAAAAAATGCATAAATTTGGGGAACATGAATGAGAATGGATCGCATATGGAGTAATTGCTACTTTAACTTATTTGTCGGTTTAGTTTTAAAAATGTGTGTGATTGCAAACTTGTGACTTTCAGTTCTTTATAACCAATGTTCTAAAAGGCGCTAGGCGCTAGTCGGGGACATAGTAATTATAATTTTATTAATATTTTTGCATAAATATGATTAGTAATGTTGTGTTTGTGTGTATATAAAATATAAACACACACATACACACATTAACATGCATGAATGATAAGAGTTTTCACATTTAATAACATATTATACCTACTAACTTCTTAACTTCAAGTAATACTACTTAATAATAATTATTATTAAATAATAATAAAACTTAAGAAAAAATGAAGTATATATTCCCCCGGCATTTACCCCACTTATTTTGGTGGTTGGCCTTCCGGGGTTCAAATATATATATATATATATATATATATATATATATATGAAGTATATAAACATGTATAGTATTTATTTTAACCTACAACTAGTAGCTTTCTTTATATGTATTGTTAGAGTTAGAGATACATACATCTCTTAGAATACTAAAATAAAAGGCAAAATAAAATGTTCGATAAATCTAGACGCCTAGGAGGCCGATTAAGCGCTCTAAGCAGAAAGTTAGGCGCCTTAGGCGGCCAACTAATTCACCTAGGCGCCAAATCAATTAGTCGGAGCCCCTACACTAAAACCGGGGCGCCCGACTACCGTCTAGCGCCAAGGCGGGGACTAGTCGGACGCCTAGAGCAATTTTTAGAACAATGTTTATAACTGACTTTTGTTGTTACGGATAATCGTGTTCTTCTTTCGCTGATTTTTTATTTTTTTGAGAAGGCCGATTTGTTGCATTTGAGAAGGCTCATACTTTGGATGCGAATTCAATTGGACGTGGTGTTAGACAATACAAGACTTACCTGTTAAGCTTAGTACAAAAGGTATGTTCTATCTTATGTTTTTCTTTTCACACATCTTCTTAATTCTTATGGGTATATATTTTCCAATAATCTAATCCTACAAATGCCTTTTGGCTCCCATGTGTTGTTACATTTCAAGTTTTATGAGTGATTTAATGATAAAATATGATAACATGATGTCTTACATTTACTTGTTCGTCATAGATTACCACAATATTTTAGTTTGCATATTTTATTCTTTGTGCTGTTCGCTAAAAGGGAGGGGAGTTCCTTTGAAAATTAAAGATCCAGAGTGGAAAACCTCTGAAAATTTCGTCCTAGGCACCCTCTATAAGCTCTCTAACTGAAAACAGTGGTTTAAAAGCTGTTTAAATAAAAAACATATCAATCCGGGCCGAACTGGGACTGCAGGTCGTGCGCTCGGCGTGCGGACTCTCCTGGAGTCACCAATTCATCCCGCACGGCGTGCGGGAAAGGTCGCGTGGCGTGCGGGTCTTTCGTCCAATTTTTCTGAAGCTGTCACCCCCGCTTGGCGTGCGGACCTTCCGACTTGACTTTTTGGCCATTTTTCTTCCCTTTTCGCCTGCGTTTTCTCCCGTGTTTGATTCTTCGACTCTTTTGACTTCAACAAATGTCTTCTTCACTTGCCGTGATTCCTTGTTGCTTCATAATTGCTCTCAAAAACGTTTCCGACCCTCAAATCAACCTCTCCAATGCCGTTGCCGAGCTCATTTTCCTGATTTTTACTCTAAAAATAGGGGGAATTTGACTTTGCACCCCATGTTTAAGGCGATATTAGACTTTGCACCCCATATTCAAAATTAGTAATATTTGCACCCCATTAGCTCAAAAATTGTGAAGGAGTGAGGTGCAAAGTCAAATGATTATATAGTGAAATAGGGTGAAAATATTAATGATTTTGAAAATGGGGTGCAAAGTCAAATTCTCCCCTAAAAATATTAAACATACACCAAAACCCGGTAAACCATGACTTGAACTAACTATGAGTCTTGTGACACACTTAAGCTAGAAAAACTCACAAAAACCAATCTCAACACGCATTAAATACGTGTTGAAATACGGACTTATCAAACTACGTGAGAACATATGTAGTTTACATCTACTTAATGCCCCACACGCTATGATATCATTCCCCAACAACAAATCTGGAAAGAGATGAAGATCCATGCAAAGGGAGGTTGTTTGTCATAAGAAGCGACATTGTTCATACTTATATCTTTGGTGGCTACACTTTCATTGTTGCTATTCTTTGCTGACTCTTTAACCTAAGGACGATGAATATAAATTATACTACTAATTGTCTACAGTTTTTTTTGTTTTCTTTTAAATGTAGAACTGTTAGAAATAGTATAAGTGTCTTACTCATTCATAGTTATAACCAATTATAAGGTTAGATATAAGGTTCTTTTTTAACTGGAGTGATGATCTCCCTTACCCCCTTATTAAATTTTTTGTTGCTCTGTATGTTCTTTTTTGCAAAAAAAAAAAAAAAGTAACTCAATTAGTCATTTGATAATAACCAGCACACACTTGTGTATTTAAAAGAAAGAAACATATTACGAAGTATTGTTACTATAACCAACTTCATCATCATCATGTGACAGCATCATCTTTTAGTTGAAAGTAAAAATAGTACGAACTCTTTAACTGGTATATGAAGATAACAGTGAAAATTTGTAAGTAACAATTAAGGGGGTGACAATGATGATGAGTATATCAAAGCAGAAGTTGTCCAAAACGCTGCAACATATAAGTATATTGAATGATATTTTTATGATCTGTTGCATCGAAAACATGAAACTGCAATTCAACAATATTACTTTGAGGTGAGGTGTGGTTTTATTTCTTTACCACTAAACTGAGTGCAAAGAATGTTCACTTGGTAAACCTAAGAATTAAAAAAAACACTAAAAGATTGTGAATCAGCAAAAATAATATTGTGATTTGTGAGCATACTATATGTCATTGAGTGATTAACTCAAACTAAATTTAGAAAAAAAATACAGAAATCGCAAAACCAGATTATTATTCAAGCATGCACAATCTCCAAACCAAATTATCATTCAAACATGTACAACTTTGATGTAGTTTTGTATATTCCTTAATCCTTATGAAAGAATATCGTATAAGAGTATGCGATATATGAGTAGCTTCATGCAATGTTTACATTTTTATCAACTTTGTTCTACCCTTATTGTTTATAGCAATTTATATTATAACGGCTATTTAAGGTGTGAGTCAACTATTTGAACATGCTAATCATTGTAATGATTTAATTATTATACTCTTAACCTGTGCAGGGAGGGGGAGCGCCTATACTAATCCTAACTTCAATTATTATACTCTTAATGGCACCCATTGGGAAAAATAAAGCTCTTCTAAAAAATACCCTTAAAACTTAAACATCATAGCAAAAACAACCCCTCTATACTAAAACACCCAAGTAATAAATGTTTGGATAGTAATTCCACATATTTTTTTGTTAAAGTATTGGGAAAACTATCAAATAAGCCCCCGTACTATGCTGAAAAAGTCGGTTAGGTCCTTGTACTTAACAAACACTCAATTAAGTCATCGAATTATTAAAAAACGTTCAATTAAGCCCTTTCGGTCGGTAAGTAACCGGTTTCCCGGTTAAATGGCGGCGACAACGACGACAACGACGATGTGCTCAAACCCCAGCAACGGCGGCTGCCGGGAAACGGGTTACATTTAACCGGGAAACCGGTTACTTACTGACCGAAAGGGCTTAATTGAACGTTTTTTAATAATTCGAGGACTTAATTGAGTGATTGTAAAGTACGAGGGCCTAATCGACTTTTTCAGTTTAGTACGGGGGCTTATTTGATAGTTTTCCCTATATATTTGTAAGTAAAAAATTAAGGGGGTAACAATGATGATGAGGAGTTTATTGAAGTAGAAGTGTTTGGGAGTAGATATTTTGTTCAAAACGCTGTAACATATAAGCAGATTGACTTAAACTAAATTTAGAAAAAAATTCGAGGAATCATAAAACCAACTACATGTAATCCCCGAACCAGATTATTATTCAAACATGTATAATTTTGATTAAGTTTTTCATATTCTTTCTGAAAGAATATCGTATAGGAGTATGTGATATATGAGTAGCTTAACGCAATGCTTACATTTTTTATCAACTTTGTTCTACCCTGAATGTTTATAGCAGTTTATATTATTACAGGCCATTTGAGGTGTGAATCGACTATTTGAACATGTTAATTGTTCTAATGATTTAATTATTATACTCTTAATGACATCCTATTGACAAGCACTTTGTCACGGTGCGTCAAAATAAATTCAATACTAACACTTATACGTAGTATAGGTGAAGTAAAGTTCGTATCCACAGGGAAAGGTGATTTTTACGTATGTGTAAGCGTAACTAATAAAAGTAAACGGAAAGGAGAATTGGAAATTTTGATAATTGAGAAAGAAAATAAAATACTAAAATGAGGGAAATAAAATATCAAAGGTAATCAACCTTGGTTTTGCTACTTTCCACTTGTTGATATATTTTAGTCGATCATTGTTATATCTATAACTTATCCCTTCTCGAATACTCAATCGAGGAGTATCTCCAATTCATCGAGGGTAGTTATTAACAACGACCGTTCATTAATAACCCTTACTTGATAGTAGCATTAATCTCTTAACTCCTTGATGAAATCAATTGAGGGCAACACAACGGTTTCGGTTTAACCAACACAATTAATCCCTCTTAAGTTTATTAACCACGACCGTGCATTAATAAACCAAAGTTACTTACTTGTGAAACCATCAACGATTAACCATCGGTTCATTGATCGTTTCTAGTAGTAATTAATGTCGAGATATTAACTAATTGTCATCTTAGCAACACTCCCCAACATTAATATAGAGATAGATTAAGGGAAGAATTAATATTCAAGGGAAGAAGTTAAGAAAATAACTCACAACTTTAATAATCAACAACTTTCAAGAGCAAAACCAAGCTCAAAAGACTACCTAAAGTACAAGAATAATGTGTATATGAAAGAGGGGATTAATTGATCTCTAAAATAGGAAGAAAAGGGGTGTTTTTATAGGAGAAGTGAGGTGGTTGGGTCTAAGACATAATCTGATTTTCCCATGTTCACTTGCTTTATTTGATCTCTTATAATCTCCGGGTCAAATCATATCCGATTTTTCACATTTCTTTGTCCTCCATGAAGCTTCCTCTTGTCTCCAATTCTCCTTCCTTATGCTCCCAAGCTCCTTCCTCTTCTTTTCATCATGTTTTTGCTTACATCTCAAAATATCTTAAATATCTTCTAATTCTACTTTAATTTTAGAAGATAAAGATTACACCGTAATTGTACAAAAGTTAAGTAAACATAATGTAAAACCATTCTAAAATGTGGTGTTTATGAACTACTAAATAGTACACATCACCTATGCAGGGAGGTTTGTAGCAGTTTAAATAATTATAGGTCATTTACGGTGTGAGTCAACTATTTGAACATGCTAATCGTTCTAATAAATTAATTGTTATACTCTTAATGATTTAATTATTATACTCTTAATGCCATCTTATACTCTTAATGGCATCCTATTGGGTAAAATAAAGCTCCTGTAAAATAAATGTCATAGCAAAAACAACCCTCCTATACTCGTAATGTCATAGCAAAAACAATCCTCCTATACTAAAACACCCAAGTAATAAATGTTTGGACTTTGGATAGTAATTCCACATATTTTTGTTAATACTCTTCGTTAACGATATCTTCTTTGTGCACTCCTTATTAAAATTATGGATGCGCATATGGTCAAGAGTCCTTACACACAAGTATCCTTAGCACTTCTTTGTGCACTCCTTATTAAAATTATGGATGCACATATGGTCAAGAGTCCTTACACACAAGTATCCTTAGCACGTCTTCTTAAGATCCTTTTTATGAAGACACTTTTCTTTTACAAAACTGAAATTATTTTTTCTCCCTAAATTGAAAAATGAATACTGAAATGGTGTTTCATATACACATAAAGTATTAACAACGAACTATTAGGTCACAATTTAAAGAGATAATTATGTAACCCCACATAGAACCATTAGTGTGGGTGAAATTTTACAAATATTATTGCAAATTATTTCTAAAAGTTCACATACAATTTAGGTGAATTGTACTGTTTTTCACCTACACAGTCTTCTCAAATCTATACTTATATTGCAAGCTAAAAAAGATGTAAAAGAATGTGAAACAAAATAATTACATAACACAATACTATGGGAAAATTCAGTGAAGCATTTCATCGAACACATGAATGCAAAGCTATGATCCTCAATTTGAGGATAGAATTCATATGAGACTTGAGCATACATAGAGCTACAAAAGAATACTTCATAAGTAAAAAAAATATAATAACCAAACACCTATTGATATTAAAATTGTATTCGAAGTAAACTTACATGTAACATTGTCATCTTTTCGCTCTACAACCCGATAACCCTAGCTTTCACATCTATATAGTAAGAAGTACGATATGGATTAGGTCAGATACGTAATTCGTATTCATATACCTGGGTATTTGCTGAAATCATTAGAAGGCTTGGATGAGAAAACTCATCAGCAAGAGCAATGGACGAAGAATGCTCTCTTTTGATCTTTTCTTGAGCTTTCATTGAAGTTCACTATTGAAAGGGAAACAAAAGGGTTTTCATCGATGAATCGGTAAGGCAAGTTTTTATCCTCTAGTGAAGTGAATCAACTAACGGTGTAAGAAAGAAATAAAATTTAACAGGAAAATGTTTACTAAGGAAGACGAACGAGAGTTATGCACCTCTTTCACATGAGAGTACAAATCTATATAGCACAAAGTTACACCAACATTTTTTTCATACCCATATCCCTACTCCTATTCATGTTTATAAGATTTTACTCCCTCCGTCCCATTTTACCTGTCTTACTTTCCTTTTTGGCTTGTCCCAAAATAAGTGTCATCTTTCACTTTTTGGAAAGAAGTATGTGGTTCACAACATTTCAGTTTACTATACTCAAATCTCAACCACAACTTTTACCTTTTCAACCACTTTATTAAAAATTGTGCCAAAACCAAAGGAGACACATAAAATGGAACGGAGGTAGTACTATTTTAGAAATATATATAGAGGGCAGTTCATATCAAGAGCTCTTGACCAAAACCACCGTGCGGAATTCACTGTTTGGGATGGTTGCGGTGGAATTTTTTGATGAAATTTCTTGAGCATGTTCTGCATCAAGTCTAGTTTATGACCACCAAATTTCAGCTTAAAATTCAATCGGGAAGGCAGTTGACTAAATTATTGAAAAATACTGCACTACTTTTATATGTATAGTATAGTTAACTGGACTTGATGAAGAACATGCTAAAAAATATTCATCAAAAAATTCCACCGGGAACCACTCCAAACAGTGAATTCCGCACGGCGGTTCCGGTCAGGAGCTCCTGACTCAAACGAGACTCTATATATATGCATGTATATACGTGTGTTTGTGTATATATATAATGATTTGACCCGTTATCTTTAATCGAAAGGATGTTTTTACTTGGACTGTTTTCAGTCCCTGATCAAACCAGATCAGACCAGTCCAAATAAAAACATCCAATGTCACTCCTTAAGTTGAATCAGGACCTATTATTTATAATATTCTTTCTCATTAACAGTTCAATCAAGTTAATAAAACCATTCGTTTTTTACATATAATATTCTTATTCCAGGCCAGGCTGCCCGATGGACAATTCGGCCCGCACTCATGGGCGGGTATGGGCATGTTATGTGACATTGTGACCCGCTTGTTGTGGGCTGGGCTAAGCCAGAAGTCCGGGTACAGCCTGGCCCGGGCCCGGGCCCATTTTCGTACCGATTAAACTGAGAAATGTTATTTCCTGCCATTGCTGATGGATGGTAAAATCCACAGTTTCATTAGCTAATTTTGTTGGAGTAGGAGTATTAAATCTGCTATTGGAGTCTTCACTTACGCGGGATCAGGGAGCCGGAATGTTCCCCTGGAGCTTTTGGCTCTATGACTCACCCCCTTTAGTTTAAGCTCTAAAGAGATTATTATTAATTTTATTTTTATCTATATGAGTTAAGTCTGTCCCCCCAACAACAACAACATCCGTCTCAAAAGATTTTGAGGTCGGCTAATATGAATCGATACATGATATGATTGATATCTAATCCAAAAAGTAAAGAGAGATAAAAAAGATAAGGTAAGATAAAGATAAATATATGACACAGATAAAAATGATAAGATAAAAGGATAGAAAGAATATATATAAAAGAAAAAGGATAAAAGTGTTTGGGGCAAGGAAGTGTTATAGTGTTGGGTTGGTAGCAAGGAAGCGTTGTAGTGTTTGAGGCATGAAAGTTATTTTCCCAACTAATTGTCTAAAGTTAGTTAACAAATTGGGCTCCTGTATCATCCTTAAAAAAGAACAATAAGACGAAATTTCAAAACAATCATCATTATCAAAGCCCTGTTTTACATGTATGGAAAATATCACGACTTGCCGATGAGTTAAGATATTTTCTAGTCATATTCCATTCAATAATGATATTGTAAATTTGACATGCCCATCATGTAACATGACCAGGAATCGACACACCCGTGAGTTGAGATATTTGCTAGTTGAATTCCTTAACAAGAGTGATATTGTAAAGTTAACATGCCCATCATGTAACATGACCATTTTTCTTCTGATTTGGATGCTGGTTTTATTTTTATCATTATCTGAAATTCTGAATCTCTAATACCTGTAAAATAAGGTTCATGGTAGTATATTTGCAGGAAATATATATTCCAAATCAAAGTAAATATGCACTAGATTATTACAAGAAGTACTATGAGGAAAATATCAAAGATGGCCACCTGACAAAAAAACCGTGAGAACTTGCTCAAAACTCCATCTGTAGCTCTGTGTTTCATTCTACTATATTTTCCTAGTTTTTTAAATAAAATATTCCCATTTCAGAGAAGAGATGGTGAAAATGTGTCAAATTGCAAGCGTATTGTATGATGTTTACTTGACATTCGAGATAGATAAATCACCTAGAGATTTGGATCAAGAGGTTAGCTCGATTACCTTTATAAGTTTTTGGGTAATCTTTTGGGTATATCCCACTCTTAGAGTAGTGAGCATAACCTATTTTTGAACCATGCTTGTAGGCATGCATGTATGCCAAAGATGTAGCAGAGAAAAAAAAACAGTATGAGCAGTATAATATTCTTCCAATTTATGCCATTGCCGTTAAACCTGCCATAATGGAACTTCTTGAGGTTGGTGCAAGTTGGATTCTAAGCTTTGTTTAATAAAAGTCTCTATAGTCAGTACTGCGGGGCCATTTGTTTCACTGCCTATATATGGACATGGCTATGTAACTTAACTCTACATGTTATCTGAATCTATTGGCTAATGTTGTCTTCCTTGAACAGATCAAACAATCACTGGCAGCTATTCGAATGCCTGAAAAAAATGACATTTTTGAATGGCTGGGATTGACCTTTGGATTCCAGGTAAGTTAAGATCCGCTGATCAGACTTGTTAGTATGTTTAAACATGTGATCTGGATTCAGGCATGGTTCGAAATTCCCCTAAATTTCATTGTCAAACGTAATATGGTCGACTCTTTAAAATTTGATTGCTCAAAATGCAATCTCTTAAAATCCATAGCACAGCCGCCACCAGAGCAATTTTGTATCTGTGAAGCTTTGTACTTCATACTTCTCTTGTGTCATACAATGATTTGTTTAACTTTTCTCCATTTCTTCATGTTTTCTGCTTCTGACCCCCTCTGAACTGAATGAAGAAAGCAAATGTAGCAAATCAAAGGGAGCACTTAGTACTGCTGCTTGCTAATATGCACATCAGAGATAAGAGCTTACATGGCAACGACTACGAAGTAAATGACGTTTTCAGTGAATTTTTAGTTTCATCACTGAAATGGAATATTTATCTTTTCTTAGAGTTTGTAGTAAGAGTTTTCTCACTCTAGGCGTGTTGCAATTTGAACAAGAAAATAATAATTTTATTTATATTGCAGTTCAGCAACACGGTTAAAAAACTGTATGACAAAATATTCAAAAACTACAATTCATGGTGCAAATATTTGCATCGCCCATCAAATATCAAGAGGTAAGTAGTGTGTGTACTTGCTAAGTTGCTAGCAGACCATGAGCCTTGTCCACAAAGTGGTAAACCTTTCTTCGGTAGATTTCAAATTTCTGGCTCAAATCAGTATGAGATGTCACTTCAAAGTATTTAGTGTGTCTCATTCTTGCTAAGCTTCTATCTATATCTCTTGCAATGTAGGGTGACTACAGTCTCACAGGATGGTAGTAAGCAGCAACAGCTAGATCTTGTTTACGTTGGTCTTTATCTCCTTATTTGGGGTGAAGCTTCAAATATCCGATTCATGCCAGAATGTCTCTGCTATATATTCCACTGTGTAGGTTTGCCTTCATGTTCAATATGTTACTACAAGAGCAATTACAATTGTAAAGGATTGTGTAGATCTGTGTTCCCCTCACCTATGATATACGATGGCTTAAATGTATTGGTCAAAACTATTTTGAGTTAATTTATTTGTTAATTGTGATGTATATAATCTTAATGGGACAACCCATACTTAATGGGACATAAAGGAAATTAATATTAATGGGATGGATACCCATACTCCCGCGAAAGACACAGATGATAAAGTAGTAGTGCACTAGTTCCCAGGGAATAAGCATTTTTTTAATGTCATGTGGAAAATGAGTTACTCACTATTCAAACATCAAGTTACAAAATTGAGTTTCAGTGCAACTACAAGTCTATAATCTGTAAAGAGCTATTTCAGGCAGTTAAGATTTGAGATATTATAATAAAAGTTCAAACTGATAGGAGAAGTAGCTTATTATATACTACCTCCGTCCCCCTAATAATGGGACGGAGGAGAGTGGTGCGGGTTTTAAGGAAAGTAGAATTATGTGGTTGATAATGAGTTGATAAAGTGGGAATAAAGTAAGAATGAATTAGAGCCACACAAATGTTCCAAATATGGTATGGGACAATAATAGAGGGACACCCAAAAATGAAAAAATGGGACAATTGTAGGGGGACGGAGGGAGTAGTATTTGAATACTCCCTCCGTCTCATTTTATGCATCTTACATTCCTTTTTGAGTTGTCCAAAAATAAGTGTCTTGGTTTTCTTTTTAGAAAGAAATTTGTGGTTCATACCATATCACTTTTTTCTACTCATACATTTACTTTTTAATCATTTTTTTAATAATTGTGCCAAATCAAAACAAGACCCATAAAATGATAAGAGGAGTAACTCATAATCTTATAAGTACTCCTTGCGTCCTGCTTGAATCTTGACATTTGCTTTTTGCACTTGTAAACTGAGTAATAGGGATAAAAGATGGAATGAAATCACAACACTTATTCATTGGGTAGAGCCAGTATATATACATACAGGCTAGAGAATACAAAAGGAAACTAAATCTGCCAGATTTACATAGAATATTTAGTCTATCGCAGAGAATATATTAGCTACCAAATATATACATAGAATATATTGACTATTAAATATGTATATTCTAACATTAAATATGTATATTCTAACACTCCCCCTCAAGCTGGAGCATAGATATTAATCATGCCCAGCTTGGTACAGATGGAATTGATACGTGTCCCCGGTAGAGCCTTGGTAAACACATCTGCCACTTGATTTCCTGTTTTGATGTGTGGAGTGCAAATTGTACCATCTTCCACCTTTTCTCGAGTAAAGTGACAATCAACTTCGATATGCTTTGTTCTTTCATGAAAAACAGGATTATTTGCAATATGGATAGCTGCTTGGTTATCACACCATAATCTCATTGGTTCTGTTTGAGCAAATCCAAGTTCACCAAGAAAATGCCGAAGCCAAACCAGCTCACATGTCGTCTGTGCCATAGCTCGGTATTCAGATTCTGCACTTGATCTAGAGACAACATTTTGCTTCTTACTCTTCCAAGATACAAGGTTTCCTCCAACAAACACACAGTAACCAGTGGTGGAATGTCGGTCATTAGGGTTTCCAGCATAGTCCGCATCAGTAAACCCTTCAATAACATGATGTCCGTGGTTTTGATATAGTATCCCACGCCCTGGAGCCCCCTTCAAGTATCTTAGGATATGTGTAACTGCATCCCAGTGTGATGTTCGTGGAGTGGACAGAAACTGACTGACCACACTTACCGGGAAAGCAATGTCAGGTCGGGTGATAGTCAAATAATTCAGTTTCCCAACAATCCTTCGGTATAGCTCAGGATTTTCGAGCAAGTCACCTTCATCAGCCGTTAACTTTACATTTGGAATCATCGGAGCATCACAAGGTTTTGCCTCAACCAAACCTGCATCATTTAGAACATCTAGGCAGTATTTTCTTTGAGACAAGTAAGTTCCCTTGTTACTACGTGAAACTTCTATCCCTAAGAAGTACTTCAAGGGCCCAAGATCTTTGGTCTGAAAGCAAGTAGCCAGGAAAGATTTTAGTTTCAAAATACGACCCACATCACTGCCAGTGATCACGATATCATCAACATACACAACTAATAGAATACATCCAGAATTGGAGGTAGAGAAGAAAACTGAATGATCATAGGCACTCCTGCGTAGCCCAAATTTAAATATTGTTGCACTGAAACGGCCAAACCAAGCTCGTGGGGATTGTTTCAGACCATACAACGATTTCCTTAATTTACATACCTTTCCAAACTCCCCCTGAGCAACAAACCCCGGTGGTTGCTCCATGTATACTTCCTCACTAAGGTCACCATTCAAAAAAGCATTTTTAATATCAAGTTGATGGAGTGTCCAATTGTAAGTAGCAGCCAAAGACATAAACAATCGAATGGATGTAAGTTTGGCAACAGGAGAGAAAGTGTCAAAGTAATCTATACCATATGTCTGAGCATAACCCTTAGCTACTAACCGTGCCTTTAAACGAGCAACAGAACCATCAGGATTCATTTTGACAGTGAACACCCATTTACACCCAATAGCTTTTTTGTTGGGTGGAAGATACATAAGGTCCCATGTGTGGTTCTGATCAAGAGCCATCATCTCCTCTCGCATTGCCTCTTGCCAACCAGGATGAGCCAAGGCCTCAGAAACAGTTGAAGGAACAACAATAGAATCTAAACATGCAACAAAGCTCTTGGATGAAGGTGACAATGCATCATAAGTAACAAAGGAAGAAACAGGATAAGTACAAGTCCGGGTACCTTTTCGGAGGGCAATTGGGAGATCAAGGTCAGAGGGAGCAGAATCTGGAGGCGAAACAGAAGATGGTGGTACACTGGTAGCCAACGTAGGTGCCGTAGTCACAGGGCGCGCACGACGAGAATAAACTTTAAGGGGAGGAGGTGGAGGAGGAAGGACAGTTGATGGGGAAACCTCACTGGGGGGGACAGATTCTAGCTGGCTGGTGGTATAGACTAGAAACTCATCATTAGAGAGTTCCAAAGAAGGGGATGAAGATGAACTATGCTGAAAGAAGGGCGTTTCTTCAAAAAATGTGACATCTGCAGAGATAATATACCGTCCCAAGGAAGGAGAATAACATCGATATCCTTTTTGTAATCGGGAATAACCCAGAAAAACACACTTGATTGATTTAGGATCAAGTTTTGAGACCTGGGAACGCATATCCTGGACAAAGCATGTGCAACCAAACACACGAGGCACAAGAGAGAACAAGGACTGAGAGGGAAATAAAACGGAATATGGAATCTGACCATTAAGAACAGAAGAAGGCATACGATTGATAAGGTAACACGCAGTGGAAACAGCGTCTACCCAAAATGGTTTAGGAACCCCCATGTGAAATATTAAGGCTCGAGCTACTTCTAGTAGGTGACGATTCTTTCGTTCAGCTACACCATTTTGTTGAGGTGTATAGGGACAAGAAGTGTGGTGTAAAATCCCATGGCGAGATAAGTAAGATTGAAAAGTGCTAGATAGATAGTCTTTAGCATTATCACTTCTCAGAATGCGTATATTCTTATTAAATTGAGTTTGAATTTCAGCATGAAAGGTACAAAATGCAGTAAACACATCTGAACGGGATTTCAAAGGATAAAGCCAAGTAACCCGTGAAAAATCATCCACAAATGTAACAAAATAACGATGACCAAGTTTGGAAACGACAGGACAAGGACCCCACACATCAGTGTGAACTAAATCAAAACTAGACTCAACACTTTTATTTATTCGAGGACGGAAAGTTGTTCTGTGATGCTTAGCAAACTGACATGCTTCACACTCCAAAACAGACTCCCGTGACAGACTAGGACACATTTTTTGTAGTACAGAAAGTGATGGATGACCAAATTGACAGTGAACTTTCAACAAAGACGAACTTGTGCATGCAACTGATCTTGGTACCAAGGATTCAAAAACATATAAGCCATTAACCAGTCTGCCTTTACCAATAATCTGCTTCGTCCCAAGATCCTGAAAAAGACAATGGGTGGGAAAGAAAATAACACAGCAGTTTAGGGCTTTAGTAATCTGACTGACTGAGATTAAATTAAATGGAAATTGAGATAAATATAAAACAGAAGATAGAGAAAGGTTTGGAGAAAGAGTTGCTGTTCCGAGGCCATTGACAGATGTGGTTGATCCATTTGCTAAAGTAACATGAGACTGGTTAGCAGAAGAGGTAAATGAAGACAAAATATTTTCATTACCAGTCATATGATCCGTTGCGCCAGAATCGATCACCCAATTGCGTGATGATGTAGAGAGGCATGCAGCAGGATTACCTGTATCAACTTGTGGTTTGGCAGATGAGGCTGTGAGAGAAAGTTGTAGTAGCCGAGCATATTCATCGGCTGAGATAGTAAAGGTGGAAGGAGTTGGTAGGATACCATCCTGGATAGCCGTATTAGCAACACGCCTGGGAGGAAACTGTCCAGACGCCTGTGGACGACCATGTAATTTCCAGCAATTCTTCTTCACATGACCCTCAGCTCCACAGTGATAACATGTGCGAGAAGAATTATGAGTCCCCTCAGTAGTGACTGAATTGGTCCTTTTACCACGGCTCACATCACTGACTAAGGCAGCAGTATCAATCGAGTTCATCATTCTGGATTCTCCATCTTTGCACACTGGAAGGAGACGTCCATAGAGGTCAGAAAAACTAGGAAGGGTCCCACCAGATAGTATTTGACTCCTTGATACCTCATATTGTGGACCAAGCCCAGCCAAAACACCATGAACAAATGTTCGCTCCTCTTGTTCTTGCATACTCTTAACATCAGCAGTAATAGGGAATCGGGACCGCTTTTCTTCAAAAATCTGTTTACATTCATTGTAGTATTGAAACAGCGTCTGGTCCTTCATCTCTGGTCTATAGTAGTGCATCAGTAATTGATGAACATAAGAGAGATCTTGTTTACTAGCATACATAGACTCCAAGTATTCCCACATTTCTTTGACAGTATCACAGTGAGTAATGATACTATCAATAGAAGGATCCAGGGTATTCTGAATTTGATTGAACAACCTATCATCGGCCATCATCCATTTCTTTCTTTCATCAGGATGACTTCGTGGAGGAGCCATTTCACTTAGATGATCTCCCAAATCAAGACTATTAACATACCTGGTAATAGTCCGTTTCCACTGCCCGTAATCTTTACAACCAGTCAGTTTTCTCTCGGTAATTCTAGCATTACCGACCGTAATTTCAGTCACACTCTTCTTATCATCACTCATGCTTGCAAACAACTAGGCCAAGAGTGATAACAAGAGATGCGGTGCAGATTGTGTCCAGAAAAGAAAATCAGACCTGCGAAGTGCGAGAAACGTCCTGCACCGCACAAAAGAAGGCTGAATCGAACCAGAGGGAGGGAACAGAGTCGAACTTCGGGAAGTACTACCCGAAAAACCTGTGTGGCTCTGATACCATGTAAACTGAGTAATAGGGATAAAAGATGGAATGAAATCACAACACTTATTCATTGGGTAGAGCCAGTATATATACATACAGGCTAGAGAATACAAAAGGAAACTAAATCTGCCAGATTTACATAGAATATTTAGTCTATCGCAGAGAATATATTAGCTACCAAATATATACATAGAATATATTGACTATTAAATATGTATATTCTAACATTAAATATGTATATTCTAACAGCACTGTTTTAGGACACCAAGTATTTAGTCACAATTTTCCCATATTACCCTTCTTGTTTTATGCAATTTTCATTAACAACCACAACCCATTTTTTCGCCCCAACAATTCTCTGCTCTATGTACGCACAACCCTGTATGCACAACCCCTTCTGACAAACTATCCTATTCCTCCGGTCTTACCCCTCTTACTCCACCAATATCCCACACTTTTCTGTCTGCCCTTGTACTTTTGTTCCTCTTTCCTGCGGCTTGCACCACCAGCCACCCAACCCCATTTCAAACTCACTCCATCTGCTTATTCACAAATCCCCCATCAAACCTCCATTCTTCATCTGCTTCTTTGAGTCTTTTGGATTGGGGATAGCCTCTCCACATATTCCACTCTTACCGGTAGGGGCCGAAACACCTCAATGACATCCCTCCTTTTTATGATTTTGGCCTGCCCGGGTTGTTTGCGGCGATTTTGTTGGGAGTAGATGGGTAAGATTGGAAGAACGAGTAGACATATGGAGAGAGGGGATGAATAAAGAAAAGATGGATTACTATATAAAAGGTTTGAGAGAGAAGGTGAGAATAGTGGTAATAAGGACAATTTAATGGGTAATGTTTGCAAATGCGGAAACATAAAGATTCAATTGGGGCAACCTTAATAGAAAAGTGTAAAGATTTAAATAGGATAATAATTTGTGTCTTTCGGTGTTAGATAAAGTTTTCAACAAGCCCTTTAGCCGAAATTGGATTGGACAACTTTGGGTGTATAAATGGGTAAACTGAGCCTAAATAAGGTACACTTAATCATGAGCACTAAACAAGCAATCAAATCACAATCCACAATCGGGCTGGAGTGTGATACCATGTTAATCCATCTTAAAAGGTCAACCCGATAGACATTTCATATAGACACACACAATCACTCATCCAAATCTGCTATGTGTTTGTATATACATTACCTAGTAATAATGCCACTATTATTCAATGCTTATATACCTTCCCATATAAAATAGAACGGCTTTGTTGGTTAACATCCAATGTAAAACTCTCTGAAGCGGCACCAACTAGATTGGGATCTAATTCTTTGTTGGGTTGTGTTAGTATTTATAGCTTAGAAGATGACAACCGACTGGAACCTTCAAGAATGAATTGGATATTGTGTTTTATGTATGGCTAATTGAACAATATGGAAGTAAAATTGATGGATATGAAATGTTCTTGATTCTTCTCTGCTACTTTCAACCACATGGTTGAAAAGAAGTTTTATGTTTTCAACAATGTAGATGTCTGATGAGGTTGAAGGACTTTATGGCAATGTGAGTAATGTCTCTAGAGCTTCAAATCAGACTGAGCCTCCTGGTGAGGAATCATTTCTAAAGAATGTTGTGACACCTATATATAATGTGATATCAGAGGTAAGTTCTAATTTGTGGTGATGACTGATACAATGATACTTGCTGATTCTTTATGACTTAAACTGTGATCTTTGTTGGAAAAGGAAGCTATGAGACACAAAAGTGGGAAAGCAAGTCATTCAGCTTGGAGAAATTATGATGATCTGAATGAATACTTCTGGTAAATATGTTCATCAATTAAGTTTGGTTCAATTCTCCAGTTAATCTCAAATTGCAAATTTACTCTTCTCAAATGGTTGGGACTACATCAGGTCTGATAAATGTTTTGACTTGGGATGGCCATTGAAAAAAGATGCTGACTTTTTTGTGCACTCATATGATGATCAAGGAACAAATGCGGTATTACATTGTATTTATATCCACATTTATATACAGCACACCTATAGTCAAAGTACTCCATATACTATTGTATTATTGATCTAGATGCCTTAATTAATTGTTACAAATATAAATTAGGGTCAAGCCATAACCCCTCCTATTAATTTGACTAGACATCTAAACACTACAGAAGGGGATCTAGTATTTCAGTCTCCCTCCCAAAGTTTAACATTTTTTCCCCACATTTTATACCCACACGAAAGAAAAACCATTGTAGTCCCCCACCTTCCTTTCGAGGTGACTCAAACATACAACTATTGTTTGTAGCCATGTAGGTCACAGGTGCTCCACTTGAGCTATGCCTCCTTAAGCTGAATACATGTCCTACATAACCTCTTCATTAAGAAAAATTATGTTGATAACTTGATACTCATGACCCCCATAAGAAGATCGACGGTATGGAAGCATTTTTTGTTACCAAATAGAAAGTAATCGTAACACCAAGCCACATGTTAAAGGGGTTCACCATTACAACAAGGTCCATATCTATTAGTACAATAAATTGATAATTCATGTATTCCCATAACAGTCTTACCTGGAGGAAGTGGGATACATACTGCGTAAGTTAACAATAGCCACACAATATACACGCAAAGAAATAATAGTACATATTTTGTCAAAATCAGACCGGTAGGTGACCCAGACAAACAGGGTCAAGGGCCAACCCGGACCCAGAGGGTCACAGTTTGATCAACGGCCACTATACCCAGTTACTCCGTTTCTCTTCTACTGGTCCATGCATCTCTTCTTCATCAAAGCCCTATGTTTGGAGAGCTCTGGAAATCACCGCCATTGAGAAGGAAATCACCACAGCCGCGCCGCCCCATCACGGCTGTCGACCTCGCTGTTCACCAACGTCGTTGCTCACCTGCATCATCATCTACCTCTTTTTTCTTCTCTTTCTAACTGATTTGGGGGTGCAACGACCACGTCTGTCATCATCCTTGATGGATCGACGTCAAGATGGAAGGGAGAGGTCTAACAAATGATTTCCCGTCGTCCTCGTTTCCAGATCTACGGTGGTGAGGCGGCTAGGGCTAGGGTTTTCGAGATTATGACGGGGTTAGGGGCAAGTAGCGGCGGCCATGGATGGTTGAGGATTCTCACGAAGCTAGCTAGGGTTGGGCGGTAGCGGCTAGGACATGAGCTGGTCAGGGATTTTGACAGAGACGGGTTAGGGAAGTGGGGTTAGGGTTGGGGTTGCTGGAGCGTGGGGCTGGGGTGCTAAGGCATGGGTAGGGGAGGGACATGTCAGTCTACAGGGGGACAGGGGACGGTGGTGCTGGAGGGTGGCGGGCGGCGGGCGGCGGTGGTGGCGGTGGCGGCGGTGGTCATGAGTTTGCCGGAAAAAGTCAGTTGAAAATTATCCGGCTATCATAGTGACACGTTTCTGTCGTTTTACGACGGTAGTGATATCCGAAAATGACATGAAAATTCGGCAATGACACTCTCAGTGACATGAAAAAATCTTAGTGACACAACAAACTTGTAGTGACATTTTTCAAATATATGACCTTATTAGTAATATTTTTGTCAATAAAAGTAGTCACATTTTTAGCAATTGATTTTAATTTAGTAATCCCTCCGTATTTTAATCTTTGATATACTTTCCTTTTTTGGATGTATTCAATAATTTGCTACACTTTCCTTTTTGGTAAGTTTTGCCCTTAAAAATACTCAATTATCCTTACTTTTTATCTTCTCTTTCATACATTTTCACCACCTCTCCTACTTTTTCTACACCATTCATTATCCCTACTATTTCACTCTTAATAAATGTGCCAACACCTATTTTACTAAACAAAAAAATATGGAGGGAGTAATATTTAGGTAAAAACCTTGTTAGTATATGGCCGAGCAATCACTTTGTAATCCTGAGTAATCGGGTCCTACTCGTTGCTTGGCCCTTGACTAAGTTGCAAATGAATAGCAATTTAACTACTTAGCCAAACTTTCATTCACTCTTATTGACTTCTAAAATCATGGATTCTCGTGGAATTTTAACTTATTCTTTGTATATTAATTATCTGCAATTGTCTCATCTCTTCACAAAAGATTTTTGTGGATTTTTATCTTGTCCTCTACTCGTCACAAGTACGCATAGATCTGGTTGTTGATTTGACTAATTATTTATCCGGGATCACAAACCGGCGAACAAGTCCTGGACTAGTACCGGTCGGGTCGGGAGGTGGGTACCAGGATGGTCTCAATATGCAATATTTCAACATTAGATTTTGATTTTTTTTTTTATCATTTTACGATAAATAAAGTTGAACAAGGAGATTTTACATTAGTACTGATACACAACATAAACTTAAAAAAAGTGATATTGTATATGTCGTCTTACGAAGAAAAATGTATGAGTGAGATCTGTTCAGTTCTTGAAAAAAAATTAGGAATCATTTGAGGAACCGTTAATCTCATATCGTTTCGGTTCTAGGAGTTTTTTTACAAGAATTGATATAAGAATCAGTAGTATTACATCGGTGCAATTCCGGTACGTTGTCAATTAAACAGCTTACACATAAAAATATAATTTCAAATTAATAAATATATAACTGTAAATAAGTATACAAAATTTAACAAGCTAAAAATGAAAAGAAAACTATTATTAAAAAAGAAAAGCTCGATTGCACCTACGGTTGTACCGCATGTAGCAATGAGTATAACGCTTGTGTAACGATTAATGTTCTTACTCATTGAGTTGTGTAATAGAATAATTGATCATAAATAAACTGACATTGTTGAGCATTCTCGAAACTTTGAGTTTTCTTTAAATAACAATTATTTTACATTTTATTTTTTAAGTTTTTTTTTTAAATTATAATTTTTATATTCCTATTTTTTTGTTTTTATCAATTTTATTAAATATTTATTTTAGTCCAAAAAGTTACAAGGGTATATTTATCCAAACACACATAATTAGTCCTATTTAGGGAATTTAAAACAATGTAGTCCCAATTGTGATTTCTAGCTACAATTTACTCTTATTTTGGTAATTCACTTCTGTTTCATTTATTTATTTAATTATTTCTTATCATATTATACAAGGGAGATTACTCACAGTAGGGCTAAAACATCACATTTTTCTTAAAGTATGATCATATGTTTGATTTTCCTTAAATTGGACTAAATATTACATTTCTACCCCTAATTTAATTAATTGCTCATAGTTCCCTTGCATAATCAAAGTCATTTTGTTGGTGGTGGATCATTCTGATACGACGGCGACGAACTCCGGTGACGGAGATGGACATGCAGATCGGTACGGCGATTTAGGTGAAAATTTTGACGACCGACAATGACGGTTCAGATTTAAAAGTCTATGGATTTTTGAAAATCTATAAACTTATTCGAATTTAAAATTCAATGAAATTCATTTATAAAAGGGTGTCTAAATCTAAAAGTCCATAAAATTCATTTTTAAAAGAGTGTATCAATTTAAAAGTCATAATTAGATATATAAAAAAAGGTACACGAGTCTCTCTCGAACATCTAGAACATCTAGCTGGAATGTTGGAGGAATTCTGTACGTCACAGCGAATGTAGAAGTGTATGGTCAATATTGAACGTCATTTGAAGGAGACAAGAACGATGATGGACAAGTAACTGGACAGGATGCGCGACAGGTTGCTTCAACTTTGTTCCAGGCGACCTAGAGGGCGATCTAGGACAGTCAGGAGCCATCGACCGTGGGAAAGTATGGGCTCAGCATCGTCGTTCATCGCGTTTCCTAGTTTGCAGTCGCGAATTGCTTCTCCCTGTTCGCAGATTATCGCACGTAGAAGCTCCCAGCTTGCAGTCACCAGTTTCTATCAGATTCGCTGAGTTCGCAGGTTCATATCAGCCGCAAACCTCTTCTCCCAGTATGCCAGCTTCGTCACAAGCAGAATATTCCAGTTCGCATGTTTCATCGCGATCACGAACAGATTCTGATTCTCCTAGTTCGCAGGGTTGGTCACAAATAATAGCCTAATATCTATTTAGGAATATGCCTTATATCTATTTAGGAATACTTTGTATTTTGGAAACCCTTCTATTATAAATATAACTATCGGGGTTTCTATTGGTTCATTGGCAACTGATGATTTCTACTCTTGTTCCTCACTGCCATTGGTGAACGTATCTTCAGAGGAAGGCTGCGGCCGACTCACATACTGCTGACAGAACAAGGAAACTTGCACACTGATAAGCCGTAAATAGGGTCACCAAACAAGCTCTAAATTATTTATCTATTTTTATATTTACGCTATTTTTAATAATATTATTACATTATTTTTCAAATTTATATAAATTTTTATAAGATTTATCAATAATCCTTATTATTTTTTTAAAATATAACCTGCTATAGCAGGTCAAAAGGGCTTGATTGATTGTATTTAAAAATTAAGCGTATATATATGATGCTTTCTTTAGTAGAAGGGTTTAAGTGATGGATTGGAAATAGTATAATGATCTATTTAATCCTTTGGGAATATTATAAATAGGAGTTGGGAGTAGAATAAAGGGTTAGACAGAAATTTAGTTGGGACTGGGACTTGGGAGTGCTGAGACTACTCGAAGTGTCTCAACTGTATCTTTCTATTTTCAGTTTTCATCAGTTTCCATCATCTACATCAGTTTACCATCAAATTCTGGAGTCTGTATTAATGAGGCACTTTGAGCAGCCTCTCTCTCCCGGATCCCAGCCCAATCCCAATTTCCGCCTACCTTTACTTTTCCCTCCTCCCCTCTTTTATAATATTCCTATCCTTAAGAGCCGGCCCAAGCTCCTGAAAAACTTGGCCCGACCCCTCCCTTGTACACCAACTAAATATATGATACTCCGTATTATTCTATTATTATTAACTCGAATTAGCTCGGGTCCCTATCATCACTCCCCCCTTGACAACCATGTTGTCCTTAAGGTGGGAGGTAGGAAATAGCCCTGACCATCCGCTTCATCCTTGCTCCCTAATGGCTGGACCTCGTGCTTACGTGCTTGCACCTTCATCATCACTTTCTTCATATCCATTGCAAAGACTTGAAACTCAGACCATACAGCCAAATAGACGAGCATGGCAATCCAAACTTCTGGAGCCAGTTTCATGGCTAGTCCAATTGGTCGAAAGCCCTTGGTCCCCCTCAGTCTTGCATGTCCTTCAGACTTCAACCTATCCCTTGACTGAAGCTTCTCACTGAAGAAAAAACTTAGTGTCTACTCTCCAGACCCAAAGAGCTCCTCCTGATCACTTTTGTGAGATGTGCCTCATATTTCTCATGCAGCCCTAGCAGTATCTGGACAGCATCCTTCTAGCTTGGTTCATGAATCTTTACAGGCTGAAACCTGCAAGCAAGTGCTTTGTCCTTGTTGAAACATAAAAGTATAAATTAGAATAATATTGGAGAGGAAAGGATTTTCTGTGTATTTCATTGTAAAGCCTTAAGCCTTGAGATCTGTAAACATGGGTTGTCACCAACTGGGTCCTCTAAACCCTGACAGTGATTTCAAGTATAACTCTACTTTAAACTCCTCACTTTTTTTTTAACATTTTGAAGACTATTAGTGAGTTAAAATTAAGTGAAATAAATCATTCACAATTTCAATATAGCTGTTCTTTGGAAGTAAAATTAAAATATTTTTGAAATGACTTAAAAAGGAAATACATATAACTTTTTTGTTGTCAAAGTCAGGTTGCTAGGGACGATGACTGGCTAAAAATAAAAACAACATAAATTACAGGGATTAAAAAAAATTATAGTTTTGCATGGGCTAAAATGAAAATACTATATTAAAAATGTAAGTTTGCCTCTAATCAATCCTAACTTTTATATTGTATGTTTTTGACATTTGGTTTAAGATTGACATTTTTTCCCATCTTTCTACATATCCATAAACACATCTTGAGTGAGAATTTATAGTCTTAAAAACTATTAGAACCTTGAAAAAGTGTTTTATTGAATTGAAGTCTCTAAGTTCTTTTTTAACTACAGCAGCAAAGTGGCTGCCTGCCATAGCGGATCAATGTCAAATATGACAGAACGTGCTATCTAGAACTACACCTTCTATTCTGTTTTCCGCAATCATTATCCTTCCACCTAGAACGGCTCTTCCTAGGTCAGTCCTGAGCACAATATCCAAATATACCATTTTGAACGTCTAACACGCATTGTTCCTTGCAAAGCCTAGGCCATTCTTTGTCTTGCTATTTCAATTCTAAAGGTTTCGCTTGCATTTTGTATTGCCGAGCATTCCAACGCATTCCCTAAACATTAGAACATCAGAAAAATTGCGTGAAAGTAGTGTAATGAATGAAACAAGGATACTAACTAAACCATTAATGCTTAAAACAGGCCAGTAAGCATGTAATAAAATGATCAAGTTACATGTACAAGAATACTGGTTTACTCCTGGAGATGAGATTTAAAAATATTGTGACGACCGCGAACATATAAAATATTTTGCTCAGATCTACGGGCAACTTGAAGGATACACACTCGATCTTCTAAGGAATCTACAAGCACTGGTGACCTTAGTTTTCTACAAATGTTTGAGGATATTGGGCTGAATCATATGCTTGAACCATTACCCCGACACTTGATCTGGCTAGTAAGAACCCTAATGTGTTGATGTAAACAGTAAACACAAGGATCTACACATGCTCATGTGTTCTCACATAGCCTCTTTCTGAATCATGACATTCAACCTAATTGGTATTGCTTATACAAATGCGCTGAACACACAACTTTGGGTAAAGTCTTAATTTTGTACTTAATTGGGCTGATACCACCGTAAGGTGATAAGATATATGGTTAGCCTTTGATGTTTCCTAGTTAGCACTAGAAATATGATAAATTCTTGGGTTGCTCTTTGAAAGTTCTATTTGATTTCATTGATATTTCATGTGTATGTTGCAAATTGACTATCTAAAGTACCTGAGATTCAAGTTGTCAGCATCCACATGTCTGTATTACAATAAGTCACTATCTAATGGTATGTGACCAAAGATATCCCATTTGATTAAATTGATTATGGTATATGCAGTTTTTCCTTTTATAGTGAATTACTACTTACCCACTGTCGACTCTCCAGGACCATAACAATGTTGCTACAAGGAAGAGGAAGCCAAAGACAAATTTTGTTGAAATTCGAACCTTTTGGCATCTCTATAGGAGTTTCGATCGTTTCTGGACATTCTTTATATTGGCTCTCCAGGTATCTTGAGACATGATTATTATTCTCTCTTGCACGCTACTAATATACTCCCTCCGTCACAAAATAAGGTTCTTGGTTTGACTTCGCACACTTATTTAGAAAATAAAAATGTGAGGTTGAGATCTCTTTAGAGTTGAGCGGAAAAATATGAACTGCACAGAATTTTCTATAAAAGGAAACAGATTGTATTCTTGTATGGTTGAAAAGGAAAGCAAGAACCTTAGTTTGGGACGGAGGGAGGACATTTTAGTAGATGGTCAAGCCAAGTTAGGTTGAAATCAGGGAAACAACCTGACAAACACACACACTGACATGCATAGATCCATAGATTTTGGATCGAACGAGATGTGATCTTAAGGTGAGGAATGAAGTAAGAGTTTGCTTTGCACATTCCCACATGAGTTGCACTTCTCGGTAGAACCAAACCCTACTTACACATCCACACATATAAAATCTGGATAATTGAGAAAAGTTATTTTAGCACATTATATGTGTGTCCTTCCTTTCTCTATATACTCAATGTGTGATCCCCCATTTCTCGCTCAAATCTCAGTAAATTAGAAGTACATAATACTAAACAGACTTAATCTCCACTTTAATACTCATATTGCATTTACTTTCAATAACATTTCTTCCCATATTTCTGGGTTTCCAGGCGATGATTATTATTGCATGGAACGATTCAGGATCCCTTTCTGAGATTTTTGATGAAGACATGTTCAAAAGCATTTTGAGCATTTTTATAACTGCTGCTATTCTGCACTTTTGGCGTGGTATCTAATACAACATCTTTTTCATTCATGATATCAATCAGAAAGACAATCTTCTATGTTTCTCTTAGTTTATACAAGTTCAAGTTATTCCACTTTGGTTGTCATGCCTTGTTTTAATCTGGAAAATAAGTCATGTTCTCATACAATGAGAATCTTTTCAAGTTCTTGTCAATTTTTGCAGCTATTTTGGATATAATCCTCAGCCTTAATGCGTGGAGGAGCATGAGATTTACGCAGATACTTCGCTACCTTCTGAAACTTGTGGTCGCCGCACTCTGGGTGGTTCTTTTGCCTATTACTTATTCTAAATCTGTTCAGAATCCGACTGGAGTTGTGCGGTTTTTCAATATTTTAGGAGGAATTATACCAAACCAGTCATTATTCTACTACTGTGTTGCTATATACTTGATTCCAAACATATTGGCCGCATTTCTTTTTATGTTTCCTTGTATGAGAAAATCCATGGAAAAATCAAACTGGCGTATTGTTGTGCTACTAATGTGGTGGTCTCAGGTCAGCAGCATCTTTTTTTGCCATTTCCTTTTAAAGGTACTCACTCCATACTTTTGTTCTAATAATATTTCTTTAAGTTCCAGCCAAAGTTGTATATTGGAAGAGGCATGCATGAAGACATGATCTCTCTATTCAAGTAAGAAATAGTTCTTCTATACGTGGATGCACCTCCATGCATAAAATTTTTTATCATTCGCTTTTTTCTCAACAAACTGTTGACGCAGATAATGGCCCAGTATAAGGGGACTGACATTTTTCTAGGAGTTATTATTTGTCAAAGAGCACTAGGGCTCCTTTCAATAGTTGTTTTCTGTTCTCTTCTCAGGTATACGTTTTTCTGGATCTTTCTGCTCATCAGCAAGTTGGCATTCAGCTATTATGTGGAGGTATTTTTTGTCTTAAATTATAATTGTGCAATTATCTGGCTCACTTAAGCTGCTAAGAATTGGATTTTGTTGGTATCATATACGTAGTATTTGTTTTTGTCCAATTGTTGATGTTTTGTTGGCATATTTATAAGTGTGTTATTTTGCAATCCGAAGTGCACTGTCATGTGAATTGCTTTGTCCGTCAACCTCACGTACACTAGATACAGAACTATTTATACATTAAGCTTTAATTGTTTAAGCCTTTGATGTGGACGCCTTCGTGGGCCATACTTACCAGCGACATCATCAACTGAAGGGCGCACTAAAAGTGGCTGATTGGGCTGGGTAAATGACCAGGGCTGCCTTCTGGTTTAAGAAGAGCAGTCCTAATTTAATTATTCTTCTTATTTCCTGTTTTTCAGTTTTAATTAGATAGGAAGTCTATCAAATTAGAAGTCTATCAGTTTTAAATTTCCTTTTGTCATTAGGACTATAGTAATAGGCTATTAGCTATATAAGGGTCATACCGTCATAATTAGCATTTTGACATCATGTGGGGATGGGTTGGGTTGGTTCTGATTATAGACCAAGTGGCCAACCGGAAATCAATTGGCCTTTGTGGTTCTGCTAATCAGAAGTTAAAGTCTTTGAATGTATCGGTGTTGATGTTATCATTCCCCATTGCCCTGGATGCCGATGCCAAATTGTTATAGACCTTGATACAAGATCTAGTCGAAGATCATTGATAAGGAAGAGAAGGATTCGAAGATATGGTTTCAGTATAGAAATCCAACTTGCTGCCTAGGAAAGGAAGGTGATCAGTTGTTCCACCAACACTAGTATTGTACCCGTGCAATGCACGGGACATACTTTTTTTTCTTATTTTATCTATATATATTGAGTTTATGGAAAGATCATGAAAAGAGGAATATAGATAAAGAAATTTTTTGAAATAGGATCAAAACAATGTTAAAGTTCATAAGTATGATTAGCATTTTTTTATTCCAAAAATATCATTCATTCCTATTTTGGAAAGTTTTATTCAAATTATTCCTTTAATAGGACCAAATAAGTCAAATATGGGAATTAAACATATTTAGTCTTATTTTTTAACTTTGTATATGTTTTGATTTTATATTGAGTAATTTTTGAAATAGAGATACTCATGTCTTATATTTAGCCGAGTTTGTCTCAGCCGAGATCCGCTTTGTGAACATTAGTTTCCTCAACCTAATAAGGGAGTGTTTGCAATTACTTCTACTTTAAAAAAACCACTTCTTGAAATTATTTTTGAAAAAGTGCTTCATAGTAAAAGTAGGTAGTGTTTGAGAAAAAAATTAATTTTGAAAAGTAAAAGTTGATAGTTTTGATAAAATATGTGTTTTTTATGTGATAGAAAAAGTAAAAAGCAGTTTCTAACTTTTAGCTTTTAAGTGTTTAATTCAAGCGGAATTTGCTACTTGAAAACACTCTTTTCAACTATTTTAAGCCAAAAACTGAAAATCATTTTTTTAAATTTTTTCGCAAACATACACTACGTAATTTGGATATTGTTTTCGCCTGTCCAAATTTTAATTTTTGAAACAGTCTAATGTATCTCTCGCTAATTGGTACTCCAACGAATATTAAGGAGTACTGTATTGAATTATCAAAAGGCAGGACCGTGCTTTTTAAATTAATACGGAGTATTCCGTATTAAATTATTAACACTACGTAGTACGGAGTATTTGCATTAACTACTAAATGTGGTACAATACTTTTAAACTATTTTAATTCATTGAAATACTAAAAGGCTGGAATACTGCACTGCTTTCATGGGGAGATGGGCCAACATTGGAATTGAAACATGCATTCAAAATTGCTACTGTCAAAAAATTGAATAGTCAACATCAAATACTCTGTATGATTTCCTGTCATTCGAGTGACCCGTTATGACCCATATATTACCCGAATCTTTTGGATATAGTAAAATGTTTTATGCTTATGTATTTCTATGCAAAAAGATACGTAAATTTTATAGAATTAAATATCTGAACTAACATGTGAGCATGCACTTGCAGAATATTTTATAAACAATGCATTAGTTTATATTTTATAATCTCTAATCATTCCATTTCTCATCTTCTTCCCTCCCTTTATTTAATTCATTTTTTTCAAACATGTAATTTTTATTGAGAATGTCGAATTACATAATTATTATCAAAATAAATAAAATCTGAGTTACTTATTTTTACTGAATTATTTTAATTGCTCAAGTCAGATCAAGTTTTCAACTAATATTTCATCAATTTTAGGGTTTGTTTGCAAACACTACTCATAATCACTTTTGAACTTTTTCAAGTGATTTGGGAAAAAGTGATTATTAGTAAAAGTTGGTAGTGTTTGAGAAAAAAGTGATTTTGAAAAGTAAAAGTTGGTAGTGTTTGGTAAAATAAGTACTTTTGTGTAATAGAAAAAGTAAAAAGCAGATTCTAGTTTTTAGCTTTTAAGTGTTAATTTAAGTAGAAGTTGTCACTTGAAAACACTATTTTTAGCTTTTTTTAAGCCAAAAGTTGGGAAGCGTTTTTTTTAAGTGTTTGCAAACAAACCCTTAATGTTATCAAATAGGTTTGACCGTTTGAGATTTATAATCACACAATTTTGTATACACTGATTAACTATTACCTATTAATAAATGACCATAAGTTATTTTAAAAATAATTCACGACAACGATGTAGTCACATAAAAGTGATAGGCAAAATTTATATAGTACGGCGTAATTGGAGTATTTCATAAGTTAATACTGTTTTCATGTGTTCTACATTTTTAAGAGAAAAGAATAAAAGCGGTGGCCATGACCATGTGTTCATGACACGTACATGTTTCAAAAGACCCATGTGTATATGTACTGTCCATCCCACGTAATGTTAGGGACCCGGCCCAATAGAGTATAATAATAATACCGGCCCAATAGAGTATAATAATAATAAAAGTGTATTAGTTTAGTATAAATAGCAGAAGGCAGGGAAGGGTTAGGGAGGTTTTAGACATCTCAGACTGGGACTTGGGTGAGCGAGAGCTAATTCTCGTTCTTGGGGGGCTTCGGCTCATTGGGAGGCTTCGGCCTTTGTTACCGATATTGTTTCATCTTCTTCATCAATACAGTTTTCTATTTTGTTTCTTGATCTTTCTGTATATTTTCTGGAGGTTCCTATCAATTGGTATCAGAGAGAGACGATCACTGGACAAAACAGACTCGAACGAAGATGGAAGGTCGCATAACGCAGATAGGAAGAAAACTGGAGGAGCAAATGACTGAAATCGAGCGGAAATTTGACAAATATCAGAAGGAATCAAATGCGAAGTTTGAGGAATTAAGAGCGAAGATGAAGGCTGGCTTCGAGGAGATTAAGAACCAGAATAAAGGTCGATCGAGTAGTAGATGGCATGACTCATCCGCATCGCTTCACACTTCGCACTCTTCCCATAGGTCGCATCGCACTTCTCATCATCTGCGATCGCAGGAGTCGCAGACGAAATCGCGAACTCCTCATATTTCGCAATCGCGAACTCCTTCTCTTCGTTCTCAGTGGTCAACAACGACCTTTCTCAGTCCGCAAGCATCTTCATCAACGATCAATTCGCAATCTACACGGAGCATTGAGTTGAAGCCGACGCTGTCTACAACTTCAGTTCAAGAATTGGAGAAGAAAGAGGATATTCAGGAAGGGGCAGAACACGTGGATTCACCAGATAATCTAGAAAAGTCCAAAGTGTGCAAATCAGATAACCTTACTTATGAAATGCAAAGGTATACTGGTACCCTAGACAGAAATCCAGTAGATTTTAAATCTTGGTTTGGTAGAGTCCTGGAACTTGGATTGGATGTTCTAACGGATATTAGGTACCCTTGTTTACTAAACAATAATCTGGAAGGGCTGAATAATCTGGAAGGGCTGAATAAGATTCATGATTTTAAATTTGATGATGTTGATCAAGGCAATAAGTTTATAATGGAGCAGTACCATGATCTTGCAAAGACTGTATATAGATCTCCTGTTGTGCAGACTGGTGTAATTAGCGAAGTTGCAAGTTTTGTTGAAGCACCTGTGCCCGTACTTGGAAAATTTAAGGACACCTTCTTAAAGCTTCTTAAAGAATTACTGATAATGGTCTTGCAGAAGCACCAGAAATACTTTGCAGTGACTAATGAGAATGGGGATTGGCTGCCACACTTCATTACGCTTGCAAATGGGGCAATTAATGAAATAACTGTAATAGATGGGAATAAAGCTGTAATCAGAATGGGAATCCACAGAATTGGGACTGATAGTGTTAAAGGAGTTGATTCTGAATTCCTAGGCACTAAATGTTGCTTTGTTTCAGTGTCGCATCACACTGGCAAAAAGGTTCAGGGCATGAACATAAATTCTGCTAATGATACAGGTGATGCACCTCGTGAAGAGAAGGAAATAATTGTGGCTATTGAAGGCCTGAAGACTAAGGAAGAAAATGAAAAGTCATCAGAGATATTATATGCTGCAGTGACATCTGTGAGCTGGCACGTTCAAGTAATGAAGCTACAAAGCCATCAAGAAATCAAGTATTGGGAAGGAAGAGGCGCAAGAAAGAAGAGGAAGCGGAAGATCATAGCGGTTTCCTATCACCCACCTTGAGGGCAAGGTGGATGTTTAGGGGGGAAGAATTGTTAGGGACTCGGCCCAATAGAGTATAATAATAATAATACCGGCCCAATAGAGTATAATAATAATAAAAGTGTATTAGTTTAGTATAAATAGCAGAAGGCAGGGAAGGGTTAGGGAGGTTTTAGACATCTCAGATTGGGACTTGGGTGAGCGAGAGCTAATTCTCGTTCTTGGGGGGCTTCGGCTCATTGGGAGGCTTCGGCCTTTGTTACCGATATTGTTTCATCTTCTTCATCAATACAGTTTTCTATTTTGTTTCTTGATCTTTCTGTATATTTTCTGGAGGTTCCTATCACGTAATAGGCTCGAAAATTGTACAAATATACTATCGT